CTCCGCCAGTAGAACCTTAGGGGCTACTGCCGGTCCCAAGCCCGGATAAAGGAGGAGGGTTGGACATGGGGTTGGCGGCCCCATTCCGTTGAAATCTAACTTGCCAAAAAAACGCTAACCAGAAAAAATAATTCAAACCATTTTAACTCTGCCCTGGGAGTTGGAAGAAGAATTATGACGTCTCGTGATGAAAGCCGAGTCCCCTCGGAAGTCACGGGGCCGATGCCTCTTCTGACAACCAGAGCAACCATTTTTTTAGGTACATGGAACGTTCGTACATTGTGGGAGACTGGAAGACTATTTCAAGTTGCGGCAGAAATGAAAAGATACAACCTCGAGGTGCTCGGCATCAGTGAAACACATTGGACACAGGTAGGACAACTGAGACTTGCTTCAGGGGAACTGCTGTTATACTCTGGTCATGAAGAGGAAAACGCTTCACATACACAAGGAGTTGCACTGATGCTGTCCAAACATGCACAAAAGGCACTGATAGGATGGGAATCTCATGGACCCAGGATCATTAAAGCATCCTTCAAAACAAAGAAACAGGACATTACAATGAACGTCATCCAATGTTATGCACCTACCAATGACTACAATGACGACGTTAAAGATCAATTCTACGAAAGGCTGCAGTCAGTCGTCGATAAATGTTCACCAAAGGATTTGACGATTCTTATGGGAGACCTGAATGCCAAGGTTGGAATGGACAACACTGGATATGAAGACATCATGGGACGACATGGACTGGGAGAAAGGAACGAAAACGGTGAGAAATTTGCAAACCTATGTGCCTTCAACAAACTGGTCATCGGTGGCACAATATTCCCGCACAAACGCATTCACAAAGCCACATGGATTTCACCGGACCACACTACTCAAAACCAAATTGACCATATCTGTATCAACAAAAAGTTCAGAAGGACCATGGAGGATGTGAGAACCAAGAGAGGAGCTGATATAGCTTCAGATCACCACTTGCTGATCGCCAAAATGAGATTAAAGCTAAAGAAGCACTGGACAGCGGGGCAGACAACATCACAGAAGTTTAATACAGCCTTTCTTCGGGATACCGTAAAACTCAACGAATTCAAGATAACCCTCACCAATAGGTTCCAGGCCTTTCAGGATCTACTCAATGGAGAGGAAGCAACATTGGAGAACAATTGGAAAGGGATTAAGGAGGCAATCACTTCAACATGTCAGGAGGTCCTTGGTCGCAAGAAGCACCATCACAAGGAATGGATCTCTGTTGGTACTCTTGAAAAAATTCAAGAAAGGAGGAACAAGAAGGCAGCTATCAATGTCTGCCGAACAAGAGCAGAGAAAGTTAAGGCGCAAGCCGAGTATACAGAAGCAAACAGGGAAGTGAAGAAGAGCATCAGAGCTGACAAACGAAAATATGTGGATTATCTAGTAATGACGGCGGAAAAGGCTGCAAGAGAAGGAAACTTGAGACAATTGTACGAAACTACAAAGAAGCTCGCCGGAAACTATCGTAAACCAGAATGACCAGTGAAAAGCAAGGAAGGGAAAATAATCAGCAACACTGACGAACAGCGAAATAGGTGGGTGGAGCACTTTAAGGAACTATTGAATCGACCAGCTCCACTGAACCCACCCAACATCGAAGCAGCATCCACGGACCTCCCAATTAATATTGGCGCACCTACGATTGAGGAGATCAGTATAGCCATCAGACAAATCAAGAGCGGCAAAGCAGCAGGACCAGACAACATTCCAGCAGAGGCAATGAAAGCAGATGTGGAAGCAACTGCGAAAATATTTCACATTCTCTTCAAGAAGATTTCGGATGAGGAACAAGTACCATCAGATTGGAAAGAAGGATACCTCATCAAAATACCAAAGAAAGGCGATCTCAGCAAGTGTGAAAACTACAGAGGCATCACTCTTCTTTCAATACCACGCAAAGTCTTCAACAGGGTTTTGTTAAACAGAATGAAGGACTTCGTAGACGCCCAACTTCGAGATCAACAGGCTGGATTTCGTAAGGATCGATCGTGTACTGACCAAATTGCTACATTACGGATCATTGTGGAACAATCAATTGAATGGAACTCACCACTCTACATAAACTTCATCGACTACGAGAAAGCATTCGATAGCGTGGATAGGAAAACACTGTGGAGGCTTCTTCGACACTACGGTGTGCCTGAGAAAATAGTCAACATCATACGGAATTCTTATGATGGATTCAACTGCAAAATCGTACACGGAGGTCAGCTGACAGACTCTTTTGAGGTGAAGACCGGTGTCAGGCAAGGTTGCTTACTCTCACCCTTTCTCTTTCTCCTGGTCATCGACTGGATTATGAAGACGTCAACATCTGGAGGGAGGCACGGTATCAACTGGACAGTTAGGACGCAGCTGGACGATCTGGACTTCGCAGATGACCTGGCTCTTCTATCGCACACTCAACAACAAATGCAAGAGAAGACGACCAGTGTAGCAGCAGCCTCTGCAGCATTAGGTCTCAACATACATAAAGGAAAAAGCAAAATTCTCCGATGCAACACAACATGCACCAACCGAATCACGCTTGATGGAGATACCTTGGAGGACGTTAACACCTTCACATATCTTGGCAGCATCATCGACGAGAAAGGTGGATCGGACGCAGATGTGAGGGCGCGGATTGGCAAAGCAAGGGCTGCATTTCTACAGTTGAAAAATATCTGGAACTCCAAACAACTTTCAAACAAAACCAAAATCAGGATCTTCAATACAAATGTCAAGACAGTTCTACTGTATGGAGCGGAAACATGGAGAACTACCAAAGCCATCATCCAGAAGATACAAGTGTTTATTAACAGTTGTCTACGCAAAATACTTCGTATTCGTTGGCCAGACACCATCAGCAACAACGAACTGTGGGAGAGAACAAGTCAGATTCCAATGGAGGAGGAAATCAGGAAGAAGCGGTGGAAATGGATAGGACATACACTACGAAAAGCACCCAACTGCGTCACTAGACAAGCCCTCACATGGAACCCTGAAGGCAAAAGCAAAAGAGGAAGGCCAAAGAACACATTACGCCGAGAAATAGAGAAAGATATGAGAGGAATGAACAAACATTGGACAGAACTGGAGAGGGAAGCCCAGGACAGAGTTGGTTGGAGAAAACTGGTGGGCGGCCTATGCTCCATTGGGGGTAACAGGCGAAAGTAAGTAAGTAATATTCTGATTCAAATGTCGCAGGGAGTGTTACTTCTTCAACGATGCAAATATATCTATCTACCCAACCAGTACTAACTAGTATGAGGCCTAGATTCATGGATTTACAAAATAAATGAAGTTATTTTTCACAAACCACTAATTCAGTATATTATACTTTTAAATAATGATTAGGTCATAATAGATTTTTATTATATATCATTTAGTTATGACCGCAGGACATGTTTTTTTCAGCAACATGAAATGTAATACGAAAGCAGATCCTTGTAAATATTCGAATCGGTGAATCCAATGATTGGAAAGTACCTGTACAACTATGTAGATTAATTGCTCTTTCATTTTTTCGAGTCGCTACTATCCTTAGTTTATGAATTATCTTTGTGAAACCAAAGTCATGATTTTCTTACTACATAATGTTACGCAGGCACGTAAACATGTCATTTTGATTTTCTTGAGCTATTACGAGTTTACCTTAGTCAGAAAATGAGATAGAGGATCGAGGATCCGGCGACACGACATGCTACTCTAATCCAAGTGTCCCAACCCCCATTAAATAAAAGAAGAAGACTTGATATGAAGTAGAATCTGTATTCTCCAAGCATCCAGGAAGTACGAGGTCCGAGTCCGAAAGAAGGCAAGAATCCCGGACTACGGAGCCGGGACCAAGTCCTGGTCACAAAACTTTACAGATAATGCGTATTTATATATTCAGGTCGAATAGGAAACAGCATCGAATTCGGTGACATCGACAGTTAAGGCGACCAATAGGAAAAAATATTTGAAGTGACATTGATAATCAGGACGACCAGTAAGAAACAACATTGGAGTACGTGACATTAATATCTAGGACGACCATAAAATTGACCAGTAGAAATTAACCAATAGGAATTGACCAATAATTCTCTTAGGATATTGGGTGAATATCCTAACACATAAATAAAGTTGTAAGAGTTCAATTTATGTTTTGATATCACATTTCCTGGTCTCCCATTCTATGTCTACTGTCCATCTTAAAAGCTAATTATCGTTAAATTGTTGTGTACCAGTCTCCAGTTTTATTGATTTTGTCATAGTATATACGTTTGTACGAGGATAAATTGAATCACTCTATAATTATCGATTATAATAGGCTTGTACAGAACCGAGCCTTAACATACAACACTTAGTTCATAGGGGGATTTCTATTAACGGCATTGTTTACTCACATATATCTGTAAAATTCTTGAGTTCCATCGAAGATACTATAGAATATGCTATGTATTTCTCCTTCTCTATCTGAAATATTGAGGTAACATAAACACGAATACTAGCTACATATTAGTAATGCAACGGTACATAACCTCTTGTGACTTTAAAACAAATTGTACAAATGATAACTTGTAACGTTTGAAGCATATAATTTTTACAACAATAAACTTACAGTTGATGTTTGTCTTTTTTGTGGTAGTACAGCAATCATATTGGTTTGATAACAGACCGATTCTAAAATATCTGTCGGTAGAACAATAATCGTTGAACGTTGACGTGTTTGTTGTTTTTTATACTGAGATTTTAATTGATCAAGGTTTCTTGTCATACGAGCTTGATCAGCGGAAGATGTTTTATTCATAATAGTCAAATCTGGACCATCACTAACTGCTCCAGGACCAATCTGATATAAACAGCAGAAGTAAGAAAGAGTTCAATACAAAACTTAACATGAATAAAACACGAATGATATGTAGTTACTGTACAATAATTATGTATCAAGGTAATTCTGTTAGATCATAAACTATTGTGATAAAATATGTATAATTTGTATACGACAGTGGAAAAAGCTTCAGTAAAAATGAAAATGCCCACAAAAATGCAGAAACAGACAAGAAAGTTTCAGTTAGTTGATGATAAATAATGACAATTCCGAATCAATATAAAATTTCTCAAGTTACCACGATTCGCATCAGCACAAGGAGAGGAAATTTAGAAGAAACAAATCAGTTGAAGTAATTAGTGCTATTGAAAAGAAGACTAAACGATAGCATTAATGCTAGCAATTATGAAATATGAAAAAATCACAATCTCACGGACCCATAATAAATCGGCAAAACTATACAGAATTACCAATTGGTAATTCACCATGACTGTTTCAAACTGTTTAGTAACACAAGTATCCTTTTGTTGATTAACCTTGGTATTACGTTTACATTTCAAAGCAAACTCAGCTAATAAAGTGATGATCGGACAAACCGAAGCAGTACCAACTAAGATTAGATGCGAAATACGATGCCGATCGTAGTCAGAAATCAGTCAATCAATCAGTCAGTTACAACGTCGAACTTCGTACGTAAGTGCATCAGTTCATTTTGCCATACCACATTAGCACAGAGACGCAATTGTCAATTCAAATCCTATAGTGGTAGATGTAGTAGAAGAATTACGGCTAATGGAGAAGATTAGAATTTGAAGATAATATTCAAGAAGTATAATTCAGTGAGATATGTTTAGAAAGACAAAGGTAGAAGTGTTGACGAATCATTCGAAAACTTAATGAACGGTGCGAACAATGTTTGAAAACTTAATAGTACGTCTATTACTCGGTATAAGTGACAGCGACGAACGTTTTATATCTAATCATCAATCAAACTTAAATGATCACCTATTTTGAATTCAAGTACTTGCCCAGAACAGATATAATATAACCAGTAGTAGTATCTCCAATGCGCGATCTGTCGTATTTAGGACTCATTATCTGGACGTGTCTTTATCATACAATCGATATTCACATTAGTACTCAAACCTAGTATTCTCGGTTTTGAGAAAAAAACGCGTCATCCAATGAGCTACTGACCCAAGATAACTGCTGATTTAATGTTTATATCATTATTAGTGCAGTTTCAACAACAAACAACAAACTTAACACATGAATATTAAAAATCTCTTCACAATATCACTGGGTTTTTTTTTCACTAGCTTATCTAGAAAAAATTCACCGACTCTAACGAAAAAATGTCTGTCAGTAGCACGTCATCTTTCATCAATATATTCCAAACAATGTTGAAAAGCCAATTTCATGAAAAAAACAACAACAACAACAACTAACATTATCGATATTTCAATGTGAAACAAAAGAAAACAAGGTATACAAACAAAAATTATCAATGGTGAAAAAAAATTGTAACAACCATTCGTCTGACGTAATTTCGTCAACACTATGAGACAAATAGTAAAGTAAAAAAAAAGCGACTGATTGTAGTCCCCTGTTATTTTTGCTTATGATTTTGTAACTATTTACTGCTT